CGAGAACTATGTAGACATGGCCGAGACTCATCTCTGGTCAATAACCAATAGTGGAACCTAGATGCTCATATTGGTTCCTACATATTCTACGAAGATCTTTATCGGTCAAACCGCATAACAACATACGTTGTTCCCTTTGTCATCGGTATGTTACTTGCCCGAGATTCGATCGCCGGTATCATCATACATAGTTCAATCTCGTCACCGGCAAGTCTCTTTACTCATTCCATAATGCATCATTCCGTGACCAACTCATTAGTCACATTGTTTGCAAGGCTTATAGTGATGTGCATTACCGAGAGGGCCCAGAGATACCTCTTCGATACACGGAGTGACAAATCCTAATCTCGATCTATGCCAACCCAACAAACACCTTCGGAGACATCTGTAGAGCATATTTATAATTACCCAGTTACGTTGTGACGTTTGATAGCACACAAGGTGTTCCTCCGGTATTCAGGAGTTGCATAATCTCATAGTCAGAGGAACATGTATAAGTCATGATGAAAGCAATAGCAATAAACTAAATGATCATAGTGCTAAGCTAATGGATGGGTCTTATCCATCACATCATTCTCTAATAATGTGATCCCTTTCATCAAATAACAACTTTATTATTGCCTCTAGGGCATATTTCCTTCAGTCTCCCACTTGCACTAGAGTCAATAATCTAGTTCACATCGTCATGTGATTTCACACCAATAGTTCACATCTTTATGTGATTAGTTCACATCTTCATGTGACTAATATCCAAAGGGTTTATTAGAGTCAATAATCTAGTTCACATCGCTATGTGATTAACACCCAAAGAGCGATCATGTTTTATTTATGAGAGAAGTTTAGTCTACGGGTCTGCAACATTTTCAGATCCTTCAGCCCCAGAGTGTTGGCAATCAAGGGCCAAGAAAGAATCCCAAGTCTATCCTATCTCGCCACTGTCGAAAGCACAATCCCTTTCTCTTTCTATACCGAAATCGTCGTTTCATTCCTCCGCAACTTCTATCGCGGACATGATCCAATCTACCTTGCAAGACAGATTAAGATATGACTTAAGGCTTTCCCAAGCTGGCGCATAACCTCTGGTAGAGGCATTCACCCAGAGACAGAGAAGTGGGAAACCGCGGGTGAAAGAATACCGAGGTCTTTGATAGCAAACTTCTACGCGAGCTTTCTAACTGTATTTTACAAATTTCTATGTCTATAATACTCTGCATGGAGCTACTTTAGCTAATGCTTTCACTTTTAATATGTATCTAGATCGAGACTTAGAGTCATCTAGATCGGTGTCAAAAGTTTGCATCGACGTAACTCTTTACGACGTAACTCTTTTATCACCTTCATAACCAAGAAATATTTCCTTAGTCCTTTAAGGATAATTTTGACCGCTGTCCAGTGATCTACTTCTAGATCACTATTGTATTCTTTTATCAAAATGATACTAAGATATACAATAGATCTGGTACTCAACATATTTTATAGAACCTATCACCGAGCTGGAATTGCCATGGCAAGTGCCACCTCCCTCACCCCTGCCATTGAGTACGACGGCGACGACCGCATCAGCGTCCTCCCCTACGACCTTCTCCGCAACATCGTCTCCCGCCTCCCCGTCAGGGACGCCGCCCGAACCGCTGCCCTCGCGCTCCCGGTGGCGCCACCTCTGGCGCTCCACCCCGCTCATCCTCAGCGACGCCGACCTGTCCCCCTCTGCGGTCGCTCACGTCCTCGCAGACCACCCGGGCCCTTTCCGCGCCACCCACATCGCCCGCTGCAGGTTCGCATCCCACGGGCGTGAGCTCGCGGAGTGGTTGGGCCTCCTCGCCGCCAAGGGCATCCTGGACCTCGTCCTCGTCAACGACGAGGGCGTCGCCAAGCTCCCCACCGACATCCTCCGCTGCGCCTCACTCCAGCGCCTCTTCCTGGGATTCTTTACGTTCCCGGACACCGCTGCTCTCTCCCGCGGTGTACTTGGACCACACACCGTTCACGGACATCTCTGCCTCCGTGCCTCCGTGCTGCCTCGCCTTCAGGAGCTCGGCATGTTTGCTTGCAGCATCAGCGAATGGGACCTGCTCTACATGCTCGATTGCAGCCCGGTTCTGGAGAAGCTCACGTTCGTATTCAGCGGTACCCCCGATGCCTTCCACCTCCGGTGCAAGAGCCTCCGGTGCGTGGTCTTCCTGCTGGAAGCGCCCCGCAGAGGTGACGGTAGGAGTATTGTGATGATCAAGATTGCTTGTGTGCCCAACCTGCGGGCACTCGGCTTCTTGGAGCCAAGATTTCACCGGCTGCAGATCGGCGACAATAACATCAATGTATGAACTTTCCAGGATTCCATCACTCTCTCGGTACATAGTAATGCTTGGGAAACCTGTTGATATGTATGAGGTGACATATTTGCTTCTTTTGGTGCATGTTTGGCCATTGCAGCCTGGCACAGTGCCGAGCCCAAGTACAGTGGTTCCAAGCGTTAAGATATTGGCTTTGAAGGTTAATTTTGGTGTCTTAAGGGATGTCAAGATGACGGTGGCCTACCTCGGATGCTTTCCCAACATTGACACGCTGCACATCGAGGTGATATCCTTGTATCCCATGCAATTATTCAATCAGTTACTTGACCCCCATACCACTATTTATTAGCAATGGAAGATCATTACCTCTTGCATGATCCATCTCTCTAATGCACCATTTACTGATATGATGTTTCAGTCTATAACTGAACGCACTGGAAAAAACCATGCCAAGTTCTGGCAGGAGCTCCCTAGTTGAATGCATCAAGTCGCACCTCAAGAAGATGGTTTTCCATAAATATAGAGGGAAACGAAGTGAACTTGAATTCCTTAAGTTCATTTCCAGGAAAGCGCAAGAGCTACAGACATTGTATGTTCTGCTAAACAGACAGAGTCTTACTTCGGTGTCCAAGCAGGCAGAGATGACAAGCAAATTGGTGGATCTCTCGGAGGTAGCATGGAGCTGTGATTGCAAGATAATGGTGCTAGGCCCTGAATTTCAGAGTAATTGGAGCATCCAGAAAGCATCTGATCTTACTGTCGACGACCCTTTTCACTAATGAATTGAGGCTGGTTATACATTTACATGATCAAAAGATTTTTTTTTTCTTTCTCTGCAGAGAGTGATTTACTGTTCTTCATATGCAAGGGCACTGTTTAGTTTGTAGGCAAGTATGTCTGTTCTTGACAAAGAACATGAAGATTTCAACTAGAGAATGAGTGTCTGAAAGTGTTTAAGCTAGCTGTACTATGCTTCATTCAGAGTGTACTAGTAACTGTTATCTACTCTGTTTAATCCTGATGTAAAAGACCAGTCTGATCCTCCTTCCGAACATGTTTATGCTAATTTTATTTTCCCCTGTTTGATGTCGTCTATGTCAATTTCATCATCATCAGATGATCAGAGTATACCAAGCTACTTAGGTGTGCTCCTGATTTCTGCATTGCAGCTTTTGCTGCTACATATTCCTGAACAGTATTATCTGTTATTTTATTGATGCAAAAAAACTTTCAGTTTCAGTTTTATAGTTTCTCTCATGTAGTCATGTAACTGTTGAACCGTCACCACTCTAGTTTTCATACTTTTCAGCCATCAGAAAGCCTCCCCAGGAGTTATATCTCAGGATAGCCTCCGCTGAAAATGGCTGCCACCAAGAGCTCTTGCGGCGCAAAGGAGGCATGACCGCCGTCCACCGGGCAAGGTTTTCCTGGCGCGAGGTAGCTGGGAAGGGGATGATACTATGGCGGTGGTGGGAAAGGGCGGAATCAGACGTCCACCCTGAGTTTGGTTGGCAAGTTCGGAGTTTAACTGCTCCCTCCGTTCACAAATATAAGATGTTCTAACTTTTTTTTGAACCGGATGTCTATAGACACGTTTTGGTGTGTTTGTTCACCCATTTCAGTTCATATGTAGTTTATATTTCAAAACATCTTATATTTATGAACAGAGGGAGTAGTTAATAACAAGTCACCACCAATTAATCAACTTTTGAGATTTTATCGACACAAGTAAACATGGCAAACAACTGAATGATCGTCTCAATAGTTCGGACTTCAGGCACACACACATGGGGATCAACTCATATATAATGTTAGGTTATCAGCAACAGCCGGAACATGCAGAAATCTCAAAGCAAAAGAGGGGAGAAACGGTGTGAAGCATAAACATCAACCAGAAAAGACTTCAAAATTTCGAAGGAAGTTCCGAATGGGAAATCAGATGATCTTCTTATGAAGACACTACCACCTTCTGAAGCCGCAAATGGAGCATTTGCATTCCTGTTTACTGAAAGGAAAAAAGTGCCCTCTGAAAGCTTCTTACTGCAGAAATAACATGTGCGGAACATCATAGACAACGCATGGGCTTTTGTTGACGCTCCACATGTGTAACACAAAGGTCTAGGGATCTAAACCAGACGAAAATAAGAACTTCACTACCAGTTTTAGTGCAAATTTAGATTCAAGCCACATAGTAACGACGCCGGCAGCTTAAACTGAAGATGCCCTGTCAGCCACCCATGAATGATGAACTCTCTTGTGGTACAGGAAGTAAATCACAACAGGCAGTGCCAGTAAGCACCTATACGGTTCCTGATTGATGCTAAGAATTTTTACTCATGTGTACCTATGTGCGCAAGTAATCAGTGAATAACTGAATATCCGTGCACTCACTGCCCCGTTCTATAGCAGAGCATAAGCCAACACAACTACGCAAGGCATGTCAACTTTCGAGAATTGATAGCTAAATTATCCAATCAAACTCAAGATGAAAACACACTATTCGTTTAAATCTTGTCATTTTTGTCTAATTCACAAATCATTGCATTATTGGATGAATCTTTACAAGTACACATTACGTAGCATTACTAACATTCCTGAATTATTTCACATTTTTTGAGAATCAGAAAAAAATGAAGAGGAGAGAGAATATTACTTGCACCGGCAACCAGTTGCAGAAAATCCTCTTTCCACAGGTGTATTGCTATTTTCTTAAAATAACTACCATATGAGTGGAAAAGTGAAAATTATGCACTACATAGATGCACTAAAACATTATCTCATGAACGTTGTTGCGCGCTTTGAGTTGCCGCCATGAAAGCAGAGTAATCCTTTTTAATGTTTTTGAGCCTCACGACCACGTCGCTCATGCTTGCCCTCTGACTGGGAGAATCGTCCGAACACTCTAGACCCAGCTGGAATATCGACACAAGAAAGTTTCCATTGCAGGAAATGGAGGATGACGACGATGAAGTATTAATTGTTTGGTGATGGAAGGCAAGGTTCATTTCTTCACCCTGCTGTAGCTTCTCATCCAAAACATCAACGAGCTTTGCTGGAAATGCTTGCGAAACCCACTGCCTAAGGCTAGATTCTCCAACGAACATAGCGTTTGTGGGCCTCTTCCCTGTGAAGACTTCAAGCAACATGATCCCGAAGCTGAACATGTCAGTCTTTCGTGATGCCTTTCCCATGAATGCTAGCTCTGGTCAAGCCAAAAAAAAATCAACATAATTAATTAATCAAACCAATAAATGATGGTTATCTATTCAAATAAATTGCTTCTGTGTGATCATAACAAGTACATACCAGGGGCCATGTACCCAATTGTCCCCGGCATACTTGCTGAAACCATGGAGTTGTCATCACGTAGAAGTAACTTTGCAATGCCAAAGTCGGCAACATGCGCCGTCATGTCGTCATCGAACAACACATTGCTAGGCTTCAGGTCACAGTGCAAGACAACTTGGAAATGATGATGGTGCAGGTACTCCATTGCCTCTGGCACGCCAAGCATAATGTCCAATCTCTGGATGAATCTTAGTGGTTCCCTTATTTCATTGTGCAAGTGTGTCTCCATGATACCATTGGGCATGTACTGAAGGAGCAGTGCCTTGAAATCCAGGCTGGAACACGCATTTAATATTTGTATTAAGTTGCGATGCCGAGCCATGCGCAACACTTGACATTCAGCATCAAAACTCCTCACAGCCTGCTCGACTTGCATATTGAGCACTTTTATTGCAACCACCAAACCATCATCTAGTTGGCCTTTGAAAACTTTGCCAAAACTACCGGTACCAAGTAGGTTGTCCTCATTGAAATTTTCAGTGGCACGAGCAATCTCATGGTAGGATACTAACCTATGGCTGATCAGATCAGTCATGCTAGTAGAAGCCGTACCATAAGATTGTTTCTTATTTTTCTTTCTGACCATTAGGTACATGGTGGTTGCAAATGCACCAACTCCAATGATGACAACCGGGAGTATAAATTTGAGGATGTGTCGACTATAAGTCAAGTGAGACTTGTGCGGACACGGTGACAGTCCTAGATGAGGAGCACCACATAGCCCAACATTCCCCATCAAAGATTGCAAGGTGATGTTTGAGAAAACACCTCCATTTGGTATTTGCCCTTCTAACCTATTGAAGGAGAGGTTCAGAGAAGAAAGGTAGGTGAAGTTAACGAGGTATTCTGGTATTGTACCTGAAAGATTGTTTGACGATAGGTCCAATGTTTCTAAGTTGGTTAAGCGGCCGAAAGAGTTTGGGACTAAACCCTTAAATGAGCTGTGTGAAAGATTTAGGTAGGTTAATAACATGGCAACCTGTCCGAATGAACTTGGAAGGCTACCACCCAAGAGGTTACTAGAAAGATCCATCACGTCCATACTTTGCATATGGCTAAGTTCAGAAGGTAATGTACCGGTTAGGGAATTATGTGACAGATCTAGTTGGATAAGGTTACTGTGATAAAAGAAGCTTGATGGTATTGTCGAAGATAGATGGTTATAAGATAATGAAACGTGCTCTAACATGGTGAGGTTGTCCATGGCATATGGTATGGAGCCAGATAACATATTGTCCGAGAGTTGTAACTCTACAATATTTCTCAGCATACCAATTTGTACAGGGATTTGGCCAACCATTCTATTTCCAGCGAGATCAAGTGCCTGGAGATTCTCCAACTTAGAGATGGATTCTGGTATTTCTTTGGTAAGATGGTTGTTGGAAAAGCTTATCAGACGAAGACCACTAAGATTTGATAGTGTTTCTGGAATCCCACCAACCAAATGGTTATTCTTTGCTTCAACTACTACCAGGTTAGTCGAGAGGTTACCGAAATAGCTGGGGATACTCCCAGAGAAAGGATTATTTGATATGGCAAGGGTTTGAAGTTGCCGACAATCGCAAAGGCTGGCCAAGAAACCAAGATCCCCTTGGAGATGATTCTCTCGAATATCAAGATACACTAGAGGCCTGTTATTTCCAGGTGTTGACGGTACTGGTCCAGTCAGCCGATTCCATCCCAAACTTAAGACAGACATTTTTGAATAATTTCCTAGAAATTCTGGTAAGAGACCTGTTAGTTGATTGTCCGAAAGGTGCAACCAAGTCAGTTGTCTCAGTTCTCCCAATTCCACAGGAATATCTCCGCTTATGTTGGAGTACGAGATGTCAAGGAAGTTGAGCATGGTGAGATTTCCAAGCACAGGCGGGATCGGGCCAACTAGGGCATTGTCACCCATAGAAATCAGCGTAAGTTGTGGTAGCTTAGCCAGCCATACGGGCACCACATCCACAAATAGATTTGCAGCAACGGAAAGTAGCTGAAGATGCTGGGACGATGCAAGGCCCAATGGAATTTGACCCTCGAATTTGTTCTGATAGAGATCAAATTGTTGCAACATGGGGAGGCTAAAGCTTCTATTTTCTGGTATATTTTTCCAACCGGACTCACAACCCCTTTCCATTAATTTTGCAATCAACGGAAATACATCAGTCTTTATCCAAGTTCATCGCCGAACTCAAAACAGATATAAACCTACTTTTGTGTGAAATGAGACTGAAAAGGGGGGAGCGAGTTGGCGCATCACCAGGAAACCCACCGCGTGATGATCCTGGAACGGACCACCAGCCATGGGACGAAAACCTGATGACACTTACCAGCCATCTGCTCAGAAATACAAAGTACCAAAACAACCATCAGACTCCGATGACTAGGCGAAACAGTCGCAATACAGATCACCAGCGGGCATCAGACCCCAGTGGGAAGCGAGAGTAGAAGCCGCCAGACGCTGATCGCATCTAGCCAATCTGCAAACCATCTCTGTCTCTCAAGAGCAGCCTGTCTCGAGGGAAGGATCTGTCCGTCAGCGCCGCAGCAGCATGTGCCAATCTCTTCACACCTGCCTGGAGCTTCACCCTGTCCTCTTCCTTCAGCAAACCTGCCCAATACATCATAAAAGAGCATGCCGTGAAAACAGCCTCCAGAGGGGATCGAACGACATGCTTATCAAACGTAACTTTATTATGGAGAATCCAAATCCCCCAACATATCGCAGCAATAATCATCATATATAAATGCTTCCCACCCGGAAAGAATTTATAAAGCCAGGCAAAGCTTTGCCAAAGGGATCGAGGGCAGCAAGATGCTCCTGCTGTCATACCCAGCGTCCCCCAAACTGCGCGAGCGAGCGAGCACGAGAAAAACAAATGGTTTGCCGTTTCAACATTAGTACAGAAGGAGCAACTGGGATTTCCAGGCCATTTTCTGGCACGCATGTTATCACGAGTAAGGATGGCATTTTGAAATAGTTGCCAAAGGAAAATCTTGACCTTCAGCGGGATAGGTGCTTTCCACACCATTTTATAATTAGGACCTGACAGGTTTCTCTCCAGCCACCCGTACAAGGATTTAGTGGTGAATTTTCCTTTGCCACCAAGGGACCAAGAAATCTTATCTGGGGATTCATTCAATGTCAGCTTTTTAGCTTCCCCGATCATCCAAGCCCATTGATCACCCAGCGCCCCTACTAATCTGCGTCTGAAGCCAATTTCATAGTTATTCGCAGCCCAGGATGCAACAGTGCAATCCTGATCTTGACAGATGCTGAACAAGTCAGGGAAATGATCTTTCAACACAATGTTATCGATCCACGGGTCATACCAGACCCTAGTAAGGTTCCCACTCTCAATGTTAACTTTTCTACCAGCCATATATGAATCTTTGACTTTCATAATGGCTTTCCAGTAGGGGGAGTCCGAGAAGCGACTCCGGATGTTAGCTACTGTTTTGTTCTTGAAGTATCTAGCTCGCACAATGCGTTTCCATAAACCATCACTCGTTTCCAGTTTCCACCACCACTTAACGAGCAGGGCAATATTTTGCTTATGCAGATCTTTAATACCTAAGCCCCCAATCTTCTTAGATCTGCAAACTCTTGTCCATTTAACCATATGATAACCATGTTTCTTATTCTTTCTCCTCCAAAAGAACCGCCTGCGATGTTTATCCATCTTCTCAATAAAAGTTTTATTAAAAAGAAACATCGACATGAGAAAAGATGGGATCCCATCCAAACTGGACCCCAGTAAGGTCAGTCTGCCCCCAGATGATGCCGCGTAAGCAACCCAGGCATCGAGCTTTTTGATCATTTTACCATCAAGGAAGTCCAGTTTGTTGTATACCAGATGATCATTTCTGGTATATGACCTGTTAGATTGTTGTTCCCCAGACGTATGTCAACAATCCTCGACATGTTGAAGATGGTAGGAGGTACTGGACCAGTGAGCTGGTTCCACTTCAAGTAAAGAAACTTGAGCATGAGCAAGGAGCCAATACCAGATGGTATTGGGCCAGACAGACTGTTCATCATAATTATGTAGCTCAGTGAAGGTGTGTTGTCAAATGAAAAATTCGGCATGAGGCCCGTAATGGAATTTGTTACGAGAGAGAAGTACCTAAGGCTACGCATGTTTCGCACCTCACCGGGGATCTGCCCCGAGAGCTGGTTGAAATTTAGGACAAGAAATTGGAGCTTCGTGAGGTTTCCTACACTAGACGGGATTGTATCCGACAGGCTATTGTAGCCAAGATCAAGATACCTAAGACGAGCTAATCTTCCAAGCTCAGCTGGGATAGAACCAGTGAGGTTTGTGTTGGTTAGGTTGATGGTGTGGAGGAAAGAGAGGTTACCGAGGTGAGGGCTGAGCTCTCCATGAAGCGGAATGTCCGGCAGCTCCAAAGCAGTGACACGCTGGTGGTGACGGCGGCTGCACGACACACCGGTCCAGCTGCAGAAGGACGCATAAGTTGTCCAGTTATTGGCAATGGTAGCCGAAGGGTCGGAGAGCTGGGATTTGAAAGCCAGCAGCGGCGCAAGGTCGGTGCTGTTGCTCGGAGCAGGAGATGAAGCAGCCATGAGTAGCAAGCTGGTGGCCATCAGCATGGCCGGAATGTATGAAAGGCGCATCTCGTCGCGCATCTGCGTAAGTTTTTTTGGTTTGGGACGAGTAGGCAATGTTAATCTTCAGTCACGTATATAAAGATACTCACCAAAGATAGACTCGAGAGTGTTTGGCCTGGATTCCAGAACTTGGCATTGTCATGCTTTGTCTGAAGTGAGTTGCCCCCGGTGACCCGTTTAACCTGTACTACAACACTTCATTCCATTCTACTCCCTCCGTTCCTAAATGCAAGTCTTTTTAGAGATTCCAATATGGACTACTCCTACATATACGAAGCAAAAAGACTTCTATTTAGGAACGAAGGAAGTATTAGCTAGACCAATCGGCGCGTGAGCTAAAGTTCTACGTATCATATTTTCATCATCTGAGCGTTTTACTTGCAGGCTTACGGTTGCTCGCTGTAGTAGCCTCTTATGCGGCCTGGGATTTTATCATTAGACGGAAGACCTTGACTAGCCTGGTGAGCTTGCGGCCACAAGCATGGAGCAGTCGGCAGTCCATCATAGCCTCTTATGTTACCCTTCATCCACGGGCAAAGAATTTTCTGCGGCGATAATGACCCAAAAGCAGCAGGGGAGTAGTGCTCTTTTAAAATAAAAAAGGAGTGCCAAATAAAATTAAAAAACAGAAAATAAAATAGAGAATCAATACAGCAAAAAGGAGAAAAGAAAGTTGCTCTGTACGTAACTTGCTTTCTAGCCAACTTGATAGAGGTTCAGGTAGACGCCTTTGCTTCGAGGATCACCATGCCAACGTCTGCCTCGAGCAAGGGCTCTTCCATTCTCAAAAACATGGACAAAAATTTACAGCGTCCTGGGCAAGGAGGGGGCGATTTGCAGTCATCGCAATGATGCCGTAGTCTGATTTTGCAGTTTGTTTACGAAACCGTGTTCAATGGGGTTGATAGGAAGTGTTAAACATTGTGTAACGTGTGCGTGTTGTGTTGGTTGTTGTAATATGGTTGGGTTTAGAGATATGATCTCATAGTTTGTTAGATTACTTGGAGATCAATCCTAGCCTAACCAACCTTGTAATCTTGTGGCCTAGAGCCCCTATATTAACACGCACGCGTCCCTGCAGAGTTGCATACGCTTAAGACTAGTTTTCCACATGGTATACAGAGCTTGACTCTTCCATCGCATCTAGATGTCTTCATCGTCCTCCTCCGCAATGGCCACGCCCTCCCTCGCTTCCCTAGGCCATACGATCACGGAGAAGCTGAATCGTGAGAATTTCCTCATCTGGCGCGCGCAGGTTCTGCCGCATGTGCGCGCGGCAGGCATGATGGGATTCCTCGATGGTTCCCAGAAGGAACCCGCCGCTGAGATCCGCACGGAGAGGGACAACGCCGGCAAGAAGGAGATCACCGTTGCCGTCAATCCAGAGCACGCCATCTGGGTGACCCAGGACCAGCAGGTGCTCTCGTTTTTGATTGCCTCTCTCTCTCGCGAAGTGCTCCTGCAGGTCAGTAACTGCACGACGGCCGCCGCTACCTGGAGCGCTCTCCTTCAGAGCTTCTCCTCGCAATCTCGCGCCCGCATCATCCAGCTCCGTGATCAGATCGGCCACACCAAGAAGGGCGATATGTCGGCGGCCGCCTACTTCACCAAGATGAAGGGGCTCGCCGACGAACTTGCAGCTGCCGGAAGGCCCCTGGATGAAGATGATGTTGTCTCTCACATCATCCAGGGGCTCATGCACGAGCCGGAGTACAGCGGGTTCGTGTCCGCCGTCTCCACGCGCACCATCACCGACCAGCCAATCGGCCTCGACGAGTTGTTCTCGCTGCTGCTTGCTGCTGAGTCACGCATCGCCGCACAGACCTCCGCCTACTCCGCCAACCTTGCTGCAAAAGGCGGAGGTCGCGGCAACTTCAACCAGGGTGGCTCTCGTGGCGGCGGCAACAGCGGCTCCCGTGGTGGCTACAACTACAACAACACGGGCTACAACAACAACAACTACTCTGGTGGTGGCGGCTTTGGTGGCGCGCCTCGCCAGGGTGGTGACCGCGGTGACCGCGGTGATCGCGAGAAGTGCCAGATCTGCAAGAACGAGGGGCATGGTGCATGGCGCTGCAAGAAACGCTACGACCGCAACTTCAACAACAACGTTCGTAACCCTGCTGGTGGTGGAGGCGGTGGTGGCGGCGGTGGAAACCGATCTGCCAACGCTGTCCACTCCTATGGAGTCGATACCAACTGGTATCTTGACTCTGGCGCAACCAACCACGTGACCGGCGAACTAGAGAAGCTCGCTGTGCATGATCGCTACACCGGCTCGGAGCAAATCCACACCGCAAGTGGTCAAGGTATGGACATTGCACATGTCGGTCATTCAGTTCTATCTACTCCTCATGGCTCTTTGCATCTAAAGAACATACTTCATTCTCCACAAGCCGATAAAAGCTTACTTTCTACCTATCAACTCATCAAAGATAATCATGCTTTCCTTGAGGTTTACCCTGAAACTTTTTTTGTTAAGGATCGGGCCACTCGGAGGACCATTCTTCAAAACGAGAGTAGGGGTGGCTTGTTTCCTATCTCTGGCCGGCAAGGTGCTCCTCTTCAACAAGTTCTTAGCGCCACAAAACCATCTACCTCACGGTGGCACAAGCGCCTAGGACATCCTGCACTACCGGTGGTTCAGAAAATTCTTCGAGATTTTAGTCTTCCAGTGTCAAATAAACAAGATCATATGCTAGTTTGTGATGCTTGCCAGATGGCCAAGAGTCATCAACTTCCCTATCCTAAGTCTTTTAGTGAGTCAAAGGCTCCTTTAGAGCTTATTTTTTCGGATGTGTGGGGTCCTGGACCCGTTTCTGTAGGCAGACAAAAATATTATGTGAGTTTTATCGATGATTTTAGCAAGTTTAGTTGGATTTATTTGCTCAAAAATAAGTCTGATGTGTTTGAGAAATTTCATCTCTTTCAGCAACATGTTGAACGCCTCTTTGATCACAAAATTCTTGCTATGCAAACGGATTGGGGGGGTGAGTACCAAAAACTCAATTCCTTTTTTGAGCGCATTGGCATCACCCATTATGTCTCGTGTCCCCATGCTCACCAGCAAAATGGATCCGCAGAACGGAAGCACCGTCACATTGTGGAAGTTGGTCTATCACTTCTTGCTCATGCCTTTATGCCCTTAAAATTTTGGGATGAGGCGTTTCTTACCGCAGTATATCTTATCAACCGTGTGCCTAGCAGGGTCATCAAAAACCAAACACCCCTTGAACGTCTCTTTGGCAAGAAACCCGACTATACCTTTCTCCGCATTTTTGGGTGTGCTGTTTGGCCTAATTTACGTCCTTATAATAAGCACAAGCTTGAATTTAGGTCCAAACAGTGTGTTTTCTTAGGGTATAGTAGCCTCCACAAAGGATACAAGTGTCTCGATGTAGCCTCCGGTCGCGTCTATATCTCTCGGGACGTCGTCTTTGATGAACATATTTTTCCTTTCGCCAAACTTCATCCTAATGCCGGTGCACAACTTCGCAAAGAGCTAACTCTTTTACCTGTTCATCTTCTGCCATCATCCCGTTTTGATCAAGGGGGAGTAGTAGATACTGCTGAACGCATGTCCATGTCTAATAACACCTTTGATCAAAACAGCCCTGATGCAAGTATGCAGGAAAACGGCGAAGATTTTGGCGAAAACGCCCATGATTTTATGCATGCAGAAACGACAGAAGGATCCGCAGATAATCCAGATGCAAATCTCTCGGGATCCGCGGCACCAGGCGCGTCAGCTGCCGCAGGAGGATCCGCCACGGGATCTGCGCCGCCCTCTGATTTGGCAGTGGCCCAAGCGGGGTCACACAGCGGGCCCGCCGCCCGTCGCATCGCTCGACAGCCACCCTTGGCGGAGCCTGGTGGCCCACTCCCACGTGCGGGCGGGCGGCCCTCGCGTGTGGACGAGCGTGGTCCACGTCACGCGGGCGGGAGCGCCCCCGACACAACGCCGCGCGACGACTCTGGCACGCCAAGTGGCAGTTCCGGAGAGGCGGATCCATCTGCGCCTGCGGACAGGCCTATCCCCGAGGCTGATCCGCTACAGGAGCCGCTACATGAGTTCTCTTTGGGATCTTCTGCGGGATCTTCTGCGGCTGATTCCGGCGAAGTTGTGTCATCTTCTTCAAATCGCCTTCTACAGCAGCTTCAACGACCAGCTCCGCCACCTCCTGTCCGCTCCAACACCAGGTCACAGAGTGGTATTGTTAAACCTAAAATATATAAAGATGGCTGTGTACGATGGGGCTCGTTTTGTGCAACAGGTGAACCACAAAATTTTGGAGAAGCACTAGGTGAACCTCGTTGGAGGGAAGCAATGGATGAGGAGTATGCTGCTTTAATGAAGAATAAAACTTGGCGTTTGGTTCCACCAGTCAGAGGGAGGAACATAATTGACTGCAAATGGGTCTATAAGGTAAAAAGAAAGTCTGATGGCTCCATTGACAGGTACAAGGCACGTCTGGTTGCTAAGGGTTTCAAACAGAGGTATGGAATTGACTATGAGGACACGTTTAGTCTAGTTGTAAAAGCTGCCACTATTAGATTAATCCTCTCAGTTGCAGTGTCTAGAGATTGGTGCATAAGACAACTAGATGTAAAGAATGCGTTCTTGCATGGCGTTCTGGAAGAGGAAGTGTTCATGAGGCAACCTCCTGGGTATGAAAATCCAAAAACAGCACATCATGTTTGCAAACTTGATAAGGCACTGTATGGACTAAAACAAGCACCTAGAGCTTGGTACTCTCGGCTCTCCGCTAAGTTACAATCACTTGGATTTACTCCCTCAAAGGGAGATACCTCGCTGTTCTTCTATCATAGATATGGAATAACCATTTTTATGCTTATTTATGTGGATGATATAGTTGTTACTAGTTCATCATCTAAGGCAGTGGAAGCCCTTCTTATGGACTTGAGCAAAGAGTTTGCACTAAAGGACCTCGGCAGTCTTCATTTCTTCCTCGGCATTGAGGTAAAAAATGTAAAAAGTGGAATTGTGTTGTCACAAGGAAAATATGTGCAAGAAATACTTCAGAGAATGGGCATGAAAGGATGTAAGCCCTCATCTACACCTTTGTCTGTTTCTGAAAAAATGTCTCTGTATGATGGAGAGACTCTTGGAGCAGAAGACTCCACCAGGTACAGAAGTATTGTAGGAGCTCTGCAGTACTTGACATTGACTAGGCCAGATATTTCATATTCAGTAAACAAAGTATGTCAGTTCTTACATGCTCCTACTAGTGCACATTGGACTGCAGTAAAGAGGATACTTAGGCATCTTCAAGGGACACAGAGCCATGGACTGAAGATTGGAAAGTCGGATTCAATGCTTGTGAGTGCTTTCTCAGATGCAGACTGGGCAGGCTGTCCTGATGATAGAAGATCAACAGGAGGATTTGCTGTGTTTCTTGGCTGTAATTTGGTTTCTTGGAGTGCTCGCAAACAGCCAACAGTATCTAGGTCAAGTACAGAAGCTGAGTATAAAGCACTAGCTAATGCCACTGTTGAGGTTATTTGGGTTCAGAATATGTTAACAGAGTTGGGTATTTCTCACCCAAAGGCAGCGTCACTTTGGTGTGACAATCTTGGTGCAACGTATTTGTCTGCAAATCCTATCTTCCATGCCAGGACGAAGCATATTGAGATTGACTACCACTTTGTTCGAGAGCGAGTGGCTGATAAGTTGTTAAATATCAGATTTATACCTACTGGTGATCAGGTGGCGGATGGGTTTACTAAACCTCTCACCTTGCGACAATTGGAAGCTTTTAGGCACAATCTCAACTTAGAAAGTTGTGATTGAGGGGGAGTGTTAAACATTGTGTAACGTGTGCGTGTTGTGTTGGTTGTTGTAATATGGTTGGGTTTAGAGATATGATCTCATAGTTTGTTAGATTACTTGGAGATCAATCCTAGCCTAACCAACCTTGTAATCTTGTGGCCTAGAGCCCCTATATTAACACGCACGCGTCCCTGCAGAGTTGCATACGCTTAAGCCTAGTTTTCCACAGGAAGCACAAGGGATGCCCGGCGTGTTTGCAAGGAGGGAGGCGACACATGATAAAGGTTCCATAACAAACACGCCGACCATATAAAGCATCTTCTTGCGGTGGCGGCAGTCTAGTGAAGTGTTACGATCTGGGCGTGGAGTGGTCAATATGCAGATTAACTCAGTGTGGGTGAGCAGTAAGGCAGATCGTTCTTTCCACCTTCAGGTGCTACTTGATCAACAGGTCTAGGCTGACTGGAAGGGTAGAGTACATAGTAGATCCAAGATTGCTTGCTGGTTTATGAAGCAACACCGAAATATATAGCAGAAATAAAAGCACACAGCGTTTGGCATCCTGATACTAGTCTTTTACTAGACTAGGAACAAACATAGGGGCATTACATAATACGGTCCATTCTGAATGAAGCATAGCACAGACAGTTCAACACTTCCACGTGTACTCGTGCTCTAGTTGAAGTCTTCATGTTCTTTGTCAAGAACAGACATAGTCTTGCCTACAAATTAAACAGTGACATTGCATATGTAGAACAGCAAATGATTCCCCCAGAAAACGCTTTGGTTCGCGCAAATGTATAGCCAGCCACAAACTCACCAATGGAAAGGGTCGTCGACGGTAAGATCAGATGCTTTCTGGATGCTCCAGTCATTCTGAAATTTAGGGCCTAGCACCATCATCTTACAATCACAGCTCCATGGTACACCCGAGAGAGCCACCAGTTTGCTTGTCATCTTATCCGCCTTGGCCACCGAAGTAAGACTCTCTCTGTTCAGCAGAACATACAAAGCTTGGAGCTCTTGCGCGCTCGTGGAGATGAACTTAAGGAATTCAAGTTCAACTTTGTTCCCTCTGTATTCATGGATAACCATCTTCTTGACGTGGGACTTGATGCATTCAATAGTAGAGAGCTCGTGCCAGAACTTGGCATGGTTCCTTCCAGTGGGTTCAGTTAAAGACTGGAACATCATATCAGTAAATGGTTAATTAGAGATGGATAATGCAAGAAGCAACAATTTCCATTGCTTGGTATGAGTGCCAGATAACCACTTCAGTGGGTTGAGTTGACTGGAATATCATACTATCAGTAAATGGTTAATTAGAGATGGATAATGCAAGAAGCAATAATTTCATTGCTAATAAATAGTGGTATCTGGTATGAGTGCCAATTAACCACTTCCAGTGGGTTCAGTTAAAGACTGGAACATCATATCAGGAAATGGTTAATTAGAGATGGATAATGCAAGAAGCAATAATTTCCAGTGCTAATAAATAGTGGTATGAGTGCCAAATAACTACTTCCAGTGGGTTCAGTCAAAGACTGGAATGTCATATCAGTAAATGGTTCGTTAGTGATGGATAATGCAAGAAGCAATAATTTCCATTGCTAATAAATAGTGGTATGAGTGCCAAATAACCACTTCCAGTGGGTTCAGTTATAAAGAATGGAACATCATATCAGTAAATGGTTAATTAGAGATAGATAATGCAAGAAGCAATAATTTCCATTGCTAATAAATAGTAGTATGAGTGCCAATGCATGAAAGACTTTAGGTGCTAAACCGACTGAATAATTGCATGGGATGCTAGGATCTCACCTCGATGTGCAGCGTCTCAATGTTGGGAAAGCATCTGAGGTAGGCCACCAGCATCTTGACATGCTCTATGACACCAAAATTAACTTTAAATGCCAATATCTTGATGCTTGGAAGCACTGTGCTTGGGCTCCGCTTTGTGCCAGGCTGCAATGGTGGAACAATGCACCAAAAGCAGATATATATGTCATGCATCTCTATTCTCTATACACATTATTAGCAATCCATGGAATCTTGGGAAGTTTATACCTCAATGACATTGTCGCCGATCTGCAGCCGGTGAAATCCTGGCTCCAAGAAGCCGAGCACCTGCAGGTTGGGCGCATGAGCAATCTTGATCATCATAGTACTCTCAGCATGTCCTCCACGGGGCGCTTCCAGCAAGAAGAGCCGCTCCAGGAGCGGGGCATCCACCACGGCAACCTCGTCTGCCATGAAGATCCAGAGGAGCACGCACCGGAGGCTTCTGCTCCGTAGATGGATGAAATCGGGTGTATAGCTGAGCACGAACGCGAGCTTCTCCAGAACCGGGCTGCAAGCGAGCATGTAGTCGAGGTCCTCGTCGCTGATGCTGGTCGTGAACATGCTGAGTTCCTGGAGGCGGGGCAGGACGTCGGCTCGGCGGGAGAGACCAGCGGTGTCCGGGAACGTGAAGAAACCCAGGAAGAGGCGCTGGAGTGAGGCGCAGCGGAGGATGTCTGCGGGGAGGCGCACGGCGTCGGGGGGAACCTGGCGAGGTTGGCGTCGTTGACGAGGACGAGGTGCTGGATGCCATTGGCAGCGAAGAGGCGCGGCCACTCTGCGATCTCGCGCTCGTGGGACGCGAACCGGCAGCGGGTGATGTGGATGGCGCGGAAGGGGCCCGGGTGGTCGGCAAGGGCGCGGGCGACGACGGATCGGGGCAGGTCGGCGTCGTTGAGGGAGAGCGGGGTGGAGCGCCAGAGGTGGCGCCAGCGGGAGGCGAGGGAGGCGGTGCGGGCTGCGTCCTTGACGGGGAGGCGTGAGACGATGCTGCGGAGGAGGTCGTCGGCGAGGGCGCTGATGCGGTCCTCGCCGTCGTAGTCGACGGCGGGGGAGAGGGAGGCGGCACTTGCCACGGTATTTACACCGCCGGGGCGCCAGCCCATGACGTTCTCGACGATGGCGGCCATGGCCGGAATGGAGTGGGGTTGAGACGCGGCGACGCGCGGACTGAAGGGGAGAAGCTAATAAATGGAGTGGAGTGGAGGCGCGGCGGCGACTGGAGTGGAAGTTTGTTTTAGGGGAAAAAGCCAATTTATTCATCAAATTCCACAGAGTGTGGGATACAAGTCGGAGCCTGGGGTTGGCCTAACCAGATGTGGCGCCCCGGCCCTAGTGAGAGTGAATATTTGGCAAGTTTATGTGCATCTCTATTAGCCGCACGACCTTCGAACACAAAATTATAGGAAAAAGAAGAAGCTCTACTTTTAATCTCTTGAACAATTGCAGCGTTCCTGCCCTTGTGTGCTTTTGAAATATCATTGACTACTTGCTTAGCATCGGAAGCGATGATCAGATTGTTAAGGTTGAGATCTTCCGCCAGCGCAAGTGCTTCTCGACATGCAATTGTCTCCAGAATAGCCGGGTCGTCCACTCCCGCAATGACCAATGCCGAACTCTCCATGTAGTTGCCTTGATGATCTCTGCAAACCGCAGCTGCTGAACCACCCCTCCCAGTTCTGACGCCGGCATCGACATGGATTTTAAACCAGCCCACCGGTGGTGCTCGTGGCCTAGTCTGGCCAAGAAGGCCGCCTCGCACTGCTTTTACCGTCTTATTCTCAAGCACCTCCAACTCCGTTATGAATCTTTTTACAAATTCTGTAGTGGCATGTGGAGTTTGAAATATACCTTCATGGATTGCCCGCCGCCGTGCTGTCCATATAGCCCACATCGTGACTGCTAGCAATACAAATTGCTCGTGTGACAGGGAATCCATCAGCGTGAACAGCCACAGCTTGGCTTTTGGTTCGGTAGTGGCGACCAGCATTTGGGCTAGGTCATCATCAACTAGCGCCCACACACACCGCGACGATGTGCAGTTTAGCAAGGAGTGACGCCATGAATCTAGCGAGCCACACATCCCGCATGCAGAGCTGTCTGTCATGTGTCTATGGGCCTGAACATCTTCCGTCGGGAGGGACTGGCGTGATAATCGCCACAAGAACATCTTAACTTTCCCTGGGACCTTGGTGTTCCATAATGTTTTCCACGATCCTTCTTCAACTGATGTCGTTGAAGAGCCTGCTGTACCTTCGACCCATGCCTCCCGACGCCGTCTCGTTTCCACTAGCATGCGATATGCTGACTTGACCGAGAAAACACCCTTCCTTTCATAGTTCCAGCTCCAAAAATCATCCGTGTTATGCGTGCATAAAGGTATACTTAAGATTACCTTAGCATCCATCGCCATGAAAACTTGATTAACAAGTTGTACATTCCATGTAGCACTTGTGTTATCTATCAGTTCGGCAACCCGGTTTGGTGGATCGGCCACCCGGCACCCGTAAGGCCGCATCATCTCATCCCTTGGCAGCCAGGTATCAACCCATATATCCGTAGTTTCACCATTGCCTATGCGTCGGATAATGCCTTGCTTTAGGGTGTCCCGGCCTTCCACAATCGCACGCCATATCTGACTTGGATGACTGCCAAGATTTGCATGCAAAATATCTGTATCAAGGAAGTATACACTCTTTAAGACGCGTGCAATGAGAGTGTCGGGATTCTGAGGGAGTCTCCATGCTTGACGCGCTAACATAGATAGGTTAAAGAGCTCGAAGTCCTTGAACCCAAGCCCCCATGCCTTTTGGCTCTGTCATCGACTTCCAAGAGACCCAATGAGGTTTCCTCTTGCCATCCTTCGATCCCCACCAGAATTTTCTTATAAGCATATTAAGATGTTCACAGAGTCCCCTTGGTAACTTGAAACAGGACATGGAAAAAACCGGTACAGCTTGTGCCACCGCTTTTACCAATACCTCTTTTCCCGTTGTAGACATAGTATTCTCAAGCCAACCCTGCACTTTGCTCCATAGCCGATCTTTCAGGTATTTGAAGGCCCCATTTTTTGAAGTACCTATGTTAGACGGCATACCCAGGTACTTCTCATTGAGTGTTTCATTAGGGACATTGAGAGACTCTTTGATGACATCCCGAGTGCTATCAAGAACACCCTTACTAAAGTAAATAGATGATTTAGCAAAGTTAATCCGTTGGCCCGAAGCTTCACAGTAACTGTTCAGTACTAGGTTCACCTCTTCAGCACCCGCAATACTTGCCTTACACAGCAGGTTGTCATCAGCAAATAATAAGTGACTTACTTGGGGCGCCGACGGTGCTACTTGTAAACCACTCAGATGGGATGGCTCACTCTTGGATTTTAAAAGGCACAACAGGCCCTCTGCTGCTAGCAAGAACAAATATGGACTGATTGGGTCCCCTTGTCTGATTCCTCTGGATGGCTCAAACTCTTCCAACTTGTTCCCATTGAATAACACTGAGAACTTGACAGACGTTACTAGGCTCATGACTATATTTACCCATCTTTCTGTGAAGCCCAATTTCATCATCACCGCCCTCAGGTAGGGCCACTCGACCCTGTCATATGCCTTCATCATGTCGAGCTTGAGTGCAAAGGATTGGTGCTTTTTTGCTTTGTTCCTCTTGATGAAGTGGAGGCATTCATAAGATGTGATAATGTTATCGGTTATCAACCTTCTAGGAACAAACGCTGATTGCTCTTCAGAAATTATCTCAGGTAAAATCACTTTCAGACGATTAGCGATCACTTTCGAGGCAATCTTATATAGTACGTTGCAAAGGCTAATCGGTCTGAATTGAGTTAACAAAGTAGGGTTTTTTACCTTTGGTATTAGCACCAGGACTGTTTCATTAATGCACGATGTTGATTCTGTGCCCTCTACTATTCTTAACACTGCCTTTGTCACATCATCTCCACAAACCTCCCAGTGACGCTGGAAGAAATGAGCTGGATATCCGTCCGGGCCCGAAGCTTTAGTCGGGAACATCCGAAAAAGAGCTGCTTTAACTTCCTCTTCTTTGTATGGAGCATTCAAAGCATCATTCATCATATCAGTGACTTTGCGCGGAATAGTGTCCAACACGGGCACCATATTTGCTACACCTTCAGACGTGTACATGGTTTTGTAAAAGGACGTCGCCATTTGCTCCATCTCCATAGCATTATCTGTCATCGAACCATCCGGGCGAACTAGTTCTTTTATTTGGTTTTTCCTTCTTCGCCTGCTCGCACGCAAATGGAAAAAATATGTGTTCTTATCACCGTGGATCAACCAGTCAATACGAGCACGCTGCCGCCATAGTATCTCCTCTCGGTGAAACAGTTCAACAAGCCGATCTGTGATTTTTATCTCCTCCCTAGTCGGCCCTGATCTCCCTGGTGTTGCACGGCAAATATGTAGTTTTGTTTTTAATTCACTGATTTCCTTTCGCACATTTCCAAAGTGCACGCAATCCCAGGTAGATAGTTCTCCCGACAGCCCCTGTAGCTTTGTCTTGACCTGCTCCACTGACTCGCCTGGCGCCGCTGTCCACTGGCTGGCCACTACCGGACCAAGCAACTCGTTCCGCTCCCAGCATACTTCATATTTAAAAGGTTTTGGGCCCCGCCTGCATGCATGCAATTCTTGCAGCGTAAGAAACAAGGGTACGTGATCTGAGCTAGCTGCCGCCAGGTGTTTAACCTCTGCTGTCGGGAACGCCATTAACCAGTCCGGCGTAGCCACTGCTCTGTCCAACCTCACCCTTGTAAATGTTCCTCCAGCTACTTTTTTCTCAAACGTCCAGCTCTGCCCTTTGTAACCAATATCAGTAAGGCTGCAAGTATCCAGAGCGTCGCGGAATAGATCCATCTGTGCTTGGCTTCTCGCGCATACTCCATCATGCTCGTGGCCATGTAGCACTTCATTGAAGTCATCGATCGCAAGCCATGGATGACTGCTGGTGTTTGCAATACCACACAACATATCCCATGTTTTATATCATTCTTGCGTTTGTGCTTCTCCATAGACAAAAGTAATCCTAGTTTGCACCGGGAATAACTCTTTCACAAGTACATCTATATGATACTCTGAGTAGCCAAGAATTTCCAACTTTATTGCTTCGTTCCAAAAAATACCAAGACCACCACTTCTACCTCTACTGCTTAGAGCAAAACTCTTATCAAAACCTAATGATCCTACCATATTCTCAACACGTGAGCCCTCTATTTGGGTTTCTAAGATGCATACAATAGAGGGGGCATGTTGCCTCGAGAGATCTCGAAGCTCTCGAACTGTCGCCGGTTTGCCAGCCCCACGACAGTTCCACACCAGGCAACTCATTGCGCTAGGCGCGACCCCACCGGGAGGCCCGCCAAACGCGCATCAGAAGTTTTGGTTTGAGCTGTGCTCTTTGTGTTGGTAGAATCACTTGAACTTGGCTTGTTTCTCTTCGGCTCTTGCTTGGACGAGGGGCTCTCTGGAGCTTTTGCTTGCTGCACCATAGGAGTTTTGCCTCCCTGGATTGAAGGTTGGGGCCGT